AGAGGGATTAATGAGGGAAATTTAAGATTGCTGTCTATCTGTTTGTTGTCTTTCTACATTTAATCCAACATGTTAAACAGGAAGTAGAATTTTGTGATACAGCTTAAAAAAGAATCCCGATATCAACCTTTCAGCTTAGCTCTAATGATAGACTGAGAAAGGAAATCCTTCCCTCTGCCTACATCCCCCAGAATGCCCTGCTGTTCTGGATCAGAACTCACGACTACAGAACCTTTCGTTGGATCTGTTTCTGCAGATATGGATCATGGAGGCCACAGCAGATCTGAGATTGTGGCTCTAGGATTGAGGCTCTCAGAGCTGAACACACAGTAGGAGTTCACATGCAGGTGAGGTGCCCCCTTCACCTGCATTATCCAGCCCTGTACACACCTGGACCACTGTGCAAATTAGCTCTGCCCCAGATAGCGCCGCCTCCTGCCAGGCTTTATCTTCTCCTCTATGTTTTATGCAAAGAGAGGAAAGGAATAAAATGGAGCAGTGGAGGTTTTCAGTGCAGAAGCCTCTGATGTTTGATGGGAAGGAAGCAGGGATCAATCCTAGAAAAGTAAATATTCATTAACTATAACCTATCAATTAAAAAACCATAAACACAAAGCTGTTAGCATCTGATAGAGGATCAGATGTGCCAAGCTCTTCTCTGCCTCTCAATGCTGCTTAATGGACGGTTTTATGGGCTTCGTTCATCTGTGTGCTCTGCTGTTCATCAGGGAGCCATGAAATAATAGAATAACAGAACATAAAACAGCAGACTGCATGCAGACAGCCCAGGTTACTGCTCTATTTTACAATCTGATGTAGAAAACAGTGCCAGATAAACCCCCCTTCTGTCTGCAGCTTCTGCGCTCATATTGACATTCTGCATCTGGAGCTGGCAGCAGAACAAAGCTGCCACCCAAAGTGAACGCCAGCAAAGGAGCATGAACAGCAAACTTCCTGACAAAGGCAGCAGCCTGAGATAGGACAGGAATGTCTGCAGCCCGGGAACGCCGGGAGCAGCGACCAATCAGACGGGTTCTTTGTTTCAGGTAGTGTTAGTCTTTAGAAAGAGAAACAATCACATTAATATGACCGGAAAAGGCTTTTTCACAGTAAACTGTAAAGTACTGTCATTTTTAATTCCATTCTATTCAGTTTATTTCTATAGCTCCAATTCACATCATGTCATCTCAGGTCACTTTCCGGTTCACCAGATCATCCAGTCAGATTGATTCAAAGTTTTCTATCTAAGGAAAACCAGCTGATTGCATCGACTCATTGACTCTTCAGCAATCCCTCACACTAAGCATGCTTGTAGCGACAGTGGAGAGGAAAAACTCCCTTTGAACAGGAAGAAACCTCCAGCAGAACCAGGCTCAGTGTGAGCGGCCATCTGCTGAGGCCGACTGGGGTTCAAGGAGACAGAAGCAGACATAGAAAAAGAAGCATAGATACAAAAGGCAACTGTAAAAGGAACCAGAACTGTATTTAACAACAGTAAGACACTAAATTTCTCCCTCCAGGCCTTGAAGTCGCGGTAAAACGCTCCAAGTGGGTTAGTCGGCACACAGAAACGTAGAGAGATTTCCAGCTAGCAGCAGATCCATGAAGGTGGGTAGAAGTAAGCTTTTCACACAAAGGTTACAGTAAAGTCCTGCAACAATGGACTCCAGCAAGCAAGCTTCCAAAAACTGAGGGGTAAAACATCTACAAGCTTAATTTAATGCAAAAGAAAAAATAAAATTCCAATTTCTAATAAAAATAATCACGATATAGATTGTTGGTAAAATGGTCCAGCCTCCTCACACTCAAGCCAATAACATCTAAAGGTTTACCTTCTTACTTTCAAAAATAAAATGCATTAAATCTATATCTTAAAGTCCTATTGGGGGGAAATAAATGAGCAGAAGTACGATTGGCTCCGGGAGCCGGAGCCCAGACTTACGTGAGCACATAGTTGACGCTGACGATGCAGTGCGGTCGCGACGAGCGGCTGTTGTGCACGATAGTCGCATAACTCTGAACCCAGACCCAGCCACCTTGTTTGGCCAAGAAACGGTAGTACCTGGTGGTGACCTGACCTTTCACCAGCACTGCAGGGACAAGAGGAGGGAGTCAGCCATGAGGGCTATTAAAGACACAGAGGCGCTCTGAGGTTTAATTTCTGCAGCGCCTGAACTGACTGGACATGTTGGAGAGGTCAGACACAACATAACCAGAAAGAAACAACAGATCCTGATCATTTCTGTAGCAGATTTTAAAGTTACCTGCAGCACTATTGCTAAGCTGCAACGCATTTTACCTCCACAGAAAAAAACTCATTTGTACTAGAAGTGAAATCCAAACTTACTTACACAAATGATGCGCGCAGCGCAGGTGGAAGGAGTCACAGCTGTGGACGTGATGGTAGAGAGTCTGCTCTATGAGATCCTGAGGCTCATAACCTGTTAGCTCTGCAACCCTGAGGAAGACACCCAGCAACAGGGATGAAGGCCCTCAGCGTGGCCACACTGCTGTCACCATCACACTCCAACAGATATCAGTCAGGCGGCTCGGACACTCAGAACGTACCGAGAGTCGAGGAAGATGAGCTTCATGTCCAGGCTGGCTCTGAACATGAACATGTTGCTGTGCAGCTTGATCTCTGTCACGGCGCTGGGAGGCAGCGAGTGGCCGACGGCCACCAGGCCGATGTTCTGGTAGCAGCCGTCAAACGGAGACATGTCCAGGCTGTACTGACGGACCTTCAGGTAGCCGCTGCAGTGGATCACCTGGACCCAAAGAGGCAACCACAGTCAGACCGGAGGAAGTGAAGAGGAGCAAGACTCTGGCAATGAGCGAGACTTTGACAATAACCAGAGACATGTTGGACAGGACGTCCTCGCAAATGGATCAAAAGCCACGATGAGGAAACTCTAAATGGGCAGAGGTTCTGCTACATCGTCAGACTTTAACATTAACTTAGAGAATTAAAAAATACATCAAAGTGTCCTCAAATTCTGTAATAGAGGAGCAGGTTTAGGTAAACTGACCTTATAACACAGCTGAACTAGGATAAAGTATGAACTTTCTACTAAAGTAATGAGCAGGGATGAAAGTTATGGAGTTAAGAAGTTAAGAATTATCTAAACTTGATCATATCGATCGACTGCAGTTTGAAAAGTGTCCATTTTCTTGTATTAAGAGGCTCCTCCCATTAACATAAAGGCTAAATGTTTTCAAACAATATGACAGGTTTAAAAAAAAAGTATATCATTATATTTTAAGCACATATGATAGCAGCCATATTAAAAACTGACTGAATAAACAAGTTTTTATCTTTTTTACCCATTATAACACCTTTTTAATCAAACTGGATCAGCTGATCAGGAAGGCCAGCTGTGATTGGATGCCGTCTGGACTCAGTGCAGGAGGTGGGAAACAGACGGATCCTAACTAAAGGAACATCTCTGTTGGATAATGTCCCCCCCTCCATGCATGAAGCTGGTGCTGAACTGGACAGCTCCTTCAGTGACAGACTGCTGCACCTTAAATGCACCAGGGAGCGTTATCACAGATCCTTCCTCCCAGCAGCTGGAAGACTCTAGAACCACCACTGTTCCCAACAACCTCAACCAGTTCTTCCATTCATGCTGATTCTGTTGTTTCTACCTTAGTCAGTTAAAGGAAAATTCCAGTTTTTAACACTTTTAGCCCATTTTCTGTAGTGTCCAGGATGAAATCGAATGATCGACACCAACATTTTGACAATTGGTCCTGTCTCTGCTTTTTGGCTCATTTAGAATCCCCCCCTGGCTGCTTCAGAATGGCTTCCATAGTGCATGTCCGATAATGTCCTTAAAACAACCTTAAACGTTCTTTTTTCAAAATATGCTACTCACCGGGTCGTCAGCGCTGTTCAATGACGTTCCAAAAAAAGTTTCGTAAAGAAAAACCGTTCCTGTAGTGTTTTATTTAGCATTTTGTAAATCCCATTGAGTTCTGTAGGAATAGTCAATATTCCGCTGCCACCGGAAACGGAAATGGGGCCTGTTTACACAGTTGTAGTCTTTTCGCTTCACTCTGTGTACTCCGACGTCGAGGTGCTAACGTCTCTGTTAAACACTTTAAAAAACTCTGAAAATGGAATACGAAAGGTGGATTCTTGAGGAGGACATATTGGACTTTGAGTTTGACGGTAGAGGATACCGTCGCCAACTAGTGGTCTGGAGTGTGCAACGCTTCAGATTCGAATGGGAAGCGGAAGTTTATAAGCGGTTGTGATGTATTGGAAAAAATAGTTCTGGGATTTACAAAATGCTAAATAAAACAAGACAGGAACGATTTTTCTTTACGAAACTTTTTTTGGAACGTCATTGAACAGCGCTGACGACCCGGTGAGTAGCATATTTAAAAAAAAGAACGTTTAAGGTTGTTTTAAGGACATTATCGGACATGCACTATGGAAGCCATTCTGAAGCAGCCAGGGGGGATTCTAAATGAGTAAAAAAGCAGAGACAGGACCAATTGTCAAAATTTTGGTGTCGATCATTCGATTTCATCCTGGACACTACAGAAAATGGGCTAAAAGTGTTAAAAACCGGAATTTTCCTTTAAATAACCTGCTGCTGTCATTCTGAACATCTCTGATGTTGCTGCTATTTTCAAATTACTGGAAAAATGTCCATAGCTGCATATTGGTTATTTATTCTCCAGGTGATCAGTTTTATATTGTAAAAATACTTTACAGCACAGGATTTTATTTGTTATTTTATTCATTCTGTCAAATATTTAGTTATTTCAATACAATTTGTCTCAGGTCCACATTTGTGTGACCATTATTTTTTCTACAATCTTTTTTCTGCTTTAAACAGCAGAATTTCCCCATTGTGGCATAATAAAGAGATTTTCTATTCTATTCTATTATTTATAAGATGTAACAAATGAGAAAGCTATTAGTTTACTGAAAAATAAAAAATTTAAATATGTGAAGCATGACTGATTTCCAATGAGCAGACATAGAGCTATCATTAATAGATAGGGTATGTTGCTCTGACATCCTGTCAGACTATTTCCTGTGTTTCAGTGAAGTGGATGCTAACTGTGAGCTAGCTCTCTGTTTTTAGCCTGATCCACCAATCAGAGCTGGAAGTACGGCGGCGTATAAGGACCATTAAAAGACAAAAAAAAAAATTGGATTTTACATTTTTTAGTTGTGGCAAATTTACGAGAATATAAACATCCAAATTTAGAAGGAATAAAGTAGCAGATGCACAGAATAAATGGGCAAATTTACAAAAACAAAAGATGTAAATTTACGAGATTATAAACATGCAAATTTATTGTATAATTCATTTTTTCTTTATAATCCTCCATGAGGTCATTTTACCGTCTCATTCCATCACTAAAGCCCCCAATTAATGCTGCATGTGCTTTATGTAGCGTTCTTTAATGTGTATTATAATCCCACATTGTTCTGCAAATGTGCATGTTAAGATCTTAAAAATTTGTTACTTTTGTCTCCTAAATTTGCATCCTTTTTTCTTCTTAATTTGCTATTTTTTTCTCTTTTTTTGTATGTTTTAATTTTGTAAATTTGTGTGTTTATTCTCATAAATGTGCCACCTCAAACTCAGAAATGTAAATTCTATTTTTATTTATTTATTTTTTTTGTATGGCCCTAATACGCTGTCGTAGGAAAGAGACTTTGTTCTGTTAGCAGAGCTTTTAAACAGGCGGTTCTGGTTCTGGATTAGAACTCGGACCGGATTCTGGATCCATTCCTGGGCTGCGTCCGAACGTCCGCTCTAACCCTCCATAACCTAGAGCTCTGTCTCGTGGTCACGCCATTTTATATGAATGTCAGAAAGTAGAGGACTCACAATTCCCCACAATGCACCTTGGAAAGTAGTGATCATTTATGGTCACTAGACGAGCAGATATATCCCAGAATCCTTTGCAAAAGCTCTTCTTTGCAAAGCATCATGGGATTTGTTTTGGGGTGAGAGAAAACAAAGATGGCGCAGGCAGCGAGTAGGGAGCTGGAGTCCAGTGACCAACGGAAAGTAGTGCTCATCTGTCTGGTGAGTTTAACGCTCAGTTAACTGAGTTCACTATTAAGTCCACTACATAGTGACGGAGGGGTCAGGGGTCAGGGGTCAGGGCGGACGTTCGGAGTCAGCCATGTTTCTACTCCACTGTCCCTACATGATCGGTACCATCAGCTCATTTGTGCAACCAGATGTTAATCCAGGTTGCCATAAATAATGTAATTATGCTAATAAAATGACTTATTTCTATCGCAAAATCACTAAAGAATTCAGAAAAAAAAATGTTTTATGACTTTTTGTGAGAAAATCTGATGCTTTTTACATTTTCTCCGTCAAACAGCTTCTCTGACGACATCATCGGACATACTCAGAGCAAAATATGATTGAACCATGTTTGTCTGCATTTTAGTTGCTTCTTCCTTTAGATTACACACAAAAGGAAAACATACATCTCAAAAACATTAGATTTACGTTTAAATCCAAAGCCGAAAAAGTTATCTCCTGGAAGTAGCGTAGGTCCCATTTCCTGAACAGATTTCTCAGAAACTATTTTATCAACCTTTAACACATTATAGTTTAGTACGCTAACTAGAGGAGGGAAAAAACTGAATATTTTTTACAAAATAAAAAGGAGGGTGACCCGGATGTATATCTGGGTGCGATGTTACGGATGGTGCTTCCAGGACGGATCGGGTGACAACCACTCTACCGTTATTTCTCCTTCAAATACTAGTGAGGCTCTGCCTAAGAATGAGCAGTGGCGCCTGCTAGTGGATGGCGGTAACAATACAGCACTGAAAGAAGCTCCCTCCAAACTAACATTATCATTTAACTGGATGTTTGAATCTAATACAACATTAATTGATAATTAATCGCAAATTAATTATTTGTTTACATCCCAAGGCGATTGTTGGCCCAGTGTTTCGGGCAGGGAGCTTTTGCTCTGAGAAGGTTGCAAGAACTCGGTTCAATCCCCACCGACTGCCACTCTGGGTCCCTGAGCAAGACCCTTAACCCCCCCCTGCTCCCTGGGTGCCGCACCATGGCAGCCCACTGCTCCCCAAGGGGAGGGGTTAAATGCAGAGAGGGAATTTCTCTATTGTGAGACAATAAAGGGATTTACTTCTGAATACAGTAAAATATGGAAACACTGAATAGAAACAGAAATGATGGAACTATTTTGTGGTTTAGAAGTCGTAAAGTTTGGTAAAGCTTTTTCTAGTGGGTCTTAAATGAGAAGAAATTAGGTAAATATGGCTAAAAAAAACAGATATACTATCTGAGAGAGAAGTTAAGATGAGGGAGATTTTTTTTAAAGCTCCTAGCGCCAAATCTAGAGACTTTTTTCTGCTACTGGAGACTTTGGAGACAACATCTAAAAGCAGCGAACTCTGCTCTCCAGAGCGAGTAGATTGGTAACCCCGCCTCCTGCTCTCCTCTATCTTGTCTGCTGTCATGATTCATGCAGCTATTATTTCATCCAAATGAAAATGTACGGGGCGCCGTAAAGTTAAGCAGTCAA